GGAAATTAACTTGAGTAGTGGCTTTAGAGAAATATTGCCGTCCATAGTTAAAGTTCTGTGGAGCAAAACCTAGAAGACTTTTGCTCCTCTTCATTAAATTCATTTCAGACAAAGACTGGCTGGGAGCCAAGTGATCATATCAGAAGTTTGAGCCTGTCCACATCTGGCCAGTGCCCAATCCTTCCATCATTTTATTCTCCTGAAACTAGGAATTGGTCAACTTGCTACTGACTGGCAAGGCTGTATCCAATGTCTTCAATGATGTGATGGAGCTGGACTCTGGAAACGGCAACACCACCGTTCTGAAAGGCATCACCGGCCGCAGCGACCTGGGCTTGCTGTCCCTCTTTGAGCATTATGATGTCTGCCAGGTATGTGGCAGACTTGGGGAAAAGCTGGTGTTGCTGTGCAATCTGTTCAATCCATCTTCTGGCTCACGAGGAGGACTTCTTTGAGCTGAGCTAACTAGACCTCGGTTGCTGCTGAAGGCAACCCAGACCTAGAGTGAGACATTTCCTCTTGGTCTCCTCCATCTCTCTCTCCTTTGCGTTGTTCTATAGACCAGCTCCTTCCTGAATTCCATTCCAGGTAACTTCCTTTTTCCAATGCATTCCAGAATGGGAACCTAAACGGTTCCCACATCAGTGTATAGTCCATTAATTAATTGCACGGCGTAACTACAGGTAAACAGAGGCGCCGGGGTGTTTGAACTGGGTGCTGATAGTCATCCAGGGCAGATGCAGCGATACAAAATCCTGCCCTTCCATTCCGTTCAAACAAAATTTCATCTCCGTCATTGACTAGCCTAAGAATATCATTGCAATCAATAGAAAATAGTTACGATATTCTTCAGCAGTTTGGAATAGAAGAAGAAGAAGGAAAAGGGAAAACAGTTTCTTTCTTACTTGATTTTGTTTCAAGTCAATTTAATGACGATCTGTATTGTAATTACCTCCTAGAAAAAGTGGAACAGTTTGGCAACAGCCAAGTACAGTATTTATATCAGTGTTTCTCAACCTCAGCAATTTTAAGATGTGCGGACTTCAACTCCCAGAATTCCCCAGTCAGCAAGGAATTCTGGGAGTTGAAGTCCACGCATCTTAAAATTGCTGAGGTTGAGAAACACTGATTTATATACTGAGAGAGAAATTAATATCTACTAAGTGCAGTGTTTTTCAAACAGCTGGGATAAGAGACAAAGAGCAAAGAAGTAGAAAAAAGTAAAAAGGTCATTTGAACCCAGCCCATTTTCTATCACTAGAGCTTGGCCTGATCACGAATTTCAGGTTTTGGTTTTAAAAAAAAAAAAAATCTGACAGGTACCACAGCCTGAAAAAGTTTGAACCCCCCTGTCCTAAAGCAACAGCCTGCGTTATAAAAAAAATGGCTACCAGTCATTTTTAATTTACATTTTTAATTCAGTTGGAAAAAAAGGTATACAATAAGATTGAACGACTTGGGACTCTAATCGTTCCCTTTCTGGTGGTTTCGCCCTTGGAGCCAAAGTCGAAATGACTTTAGCCAGCAATCTGGCATGACATTAATGCGCAGCGTTTGGAGACTTGGGGCTTCTGGTGAGCGGAAGGAACCGGTGGCCGAAATCCCAACCGAAGTCCTGCCAGTTTGTCCCTCTCTCTGAACGAAGACACTCTAAGCCAGTGTTGTCCAAACTTGGGCACTTTAAGATGAGTGGACTTCAACTCCCAGAATTCCCCAGCCAGCATG